AGAGCAGAGCAGAGAGCAGAGCAGAGAGCAGAGCAGAGCAGAGCAGAGAGCAGAGCAGAGAGCAGAGCAGAGCAGAGAGCAGAGCAGAGCAGAGAGCAGAGCAGAGAGCAGAGCAGAGCAGAGCAGAGAGCAGAGCAAAGAGCAGAGCAGAGCAGAGAGCAGAGCAGAGAGCAGAGCAGAGCAGAGCAGAGAGCAGAGCAAAGAGCAGAGTATAAAAAGCACTGTATTAAAATTGTGTCTGGTTTTTGGTCTTTACAGCTGCTGTTTGTTCAGTTAAAGTCAGAACTTAGATATGAAGATTATTAATTGATTTTACAATGACCACAACAAAAAGAAAAACTGTAACAAAGTCATTTCAGCTTCTGTTGTTTTCATTGATTTGACACTTTGCTCCTGTCTTAGGCAACATCACTCAACTAATGTAACAAGTGTTGTGTTTAATTACAGCAGCACAGGTAACGTCGGTCCATTTAGCTGATTACCTACATTGATCATTTCATTTGACCGTGAAACTCTGGGCTGATACCGATAAAGTTGTTCTTGTTATTTATTTTCCCTTTGTTCCAGCAAAACAAAGAAACCTTCTTTGTAAAAAAAAAAAATAACTGGACAGTTTTAAAGTCATTCTGTTCTTCATCACACTTCTTTTAATTAGCTCAAATTCAATCAGACATATTTATGAAACAACCTTTATAATCACCTTCTTTCACATAAAACACGTGTTTTTAATCACGGCTTCAACATAATTCCTTATGTTAAATCTGTTTTATACTGCTGTGAAAACATCAACACATTTCTCCTTTAACAACTTTAAGTTCCTCACTGCAAACTACATTTTACAAGACTACATTTGAACACACCATGTTAGAATTTAACTTCTCCCAATACTCATTTTTACTGAATAGAGCATGAATGCATCATAGTGTAATTCAGTGTGACCTCCGTCAGTTTGTTTTAGCCGACTCATGGTTCACAATTCAGCCTCATCAGACAGAGTCACCGATCAGCTCTTTGATCAGACTTTTATCGAATGTGAACGAACAATCAGTGTCCAGTTGATCAGATCAGCTGCTCCTCCCTTGACTCTGGCTGCTTTAAGGAGAGACGGCACATTAACTGTGTGTGAGGAGATTTTATAGCAGCTGTGTTATCGGGGAAACACTGCATAGTGTTCGCTTATTTAAAACAACTCAACCCAATCAGCTAATTAACAGTCTCAGCATATGAGCCAAGTGAGGTCATCATAATGCTGCTGTCAGAGATTATAATCTCACAACCTACTTTGTTTTTTGCTGAAAGGTTTGCCCCCCTGAATATGACGCAGCTGCAGGAGCTGTGATCTTATTTGTTTGTTTAAGTGTCAGAAGGAAGCAGTGGTTAAAAAAACAGCAGCTGCAGGTAACAGGTGAGTGTTGCATTCTGGGTAACACTCTGATGTCAGACAGTGTTACAATAAAGTGACATGAAGCTGGATGAGCCTCTTCCTCTGCAGCAGTGACTCAGCAGTGACTCTGAGGCTGAACACGCCAACATTACCTGGATGCAGTCGGTCCTTCGTGTACCACACAGCGATGCCGTCGCCATGGAGATTCTTCTTTCCTGACCCGTGAACTTTAAACTGCACGTGCATCTCCCAGTCCTTCAGGTAACACGGCTGAGGACCACACACAGACAACACACTGACTTCATACAGCAGCAGGAAACAACCACAGAGAGACAGAAAATCAAACTTTCTCTCTGACATCAGTCAGTGTTAAAAAGGTTCATCTGCTGTTTATTTTATTACAGTATTTTATTTCATATTTCACTACGAGTCCACAGAGAGGACACGTCAGTCCAGCCTGAGTATAGCTGATGATCAGAGTCAGACAGAGGTGATGTTCAAAGTGTTTCCTCACCACAGTGTTCCAGATCGATCCCTGCTTGCTCCTCTCGTCTGGAGTGAGGCGGACGTACGAGCTCGTCACCAACGTGCTTCCCCAGAAGTCCCACTGACTGCTGGGACTGCTGCCAACACCTGCACGGACAACACAGGAGAGACACAGTGAGACACAGAGAGACACAGTGAGACACAGAGAGACACAGTGAGACACAGAGAGACACAGGAGAGACACAGTGAGACACAGAGAGACACAGTGAGACACAGAGAGACACAGGAGAGACACAGTGAGACACAGAGAGACACAGGAGAGACACAGTGAGACACAGTGAGACACAGAGAGACACAGGAGAGACACAGTGAGACACAGTGAGACACAGTGAGACACAGGAGAGACACAGAGAGACACAGGAGAGACACAGTGAGACACAGGAGAGACACAGAGAGACACAGGAGAGACACAGTGAGACACAGGAGAGACACAGAGAGACACAGGAGAGACACAGTGAGACACAGGAGAGACACAGAGAGACACAGGAGAGACACAGTGAGACACAGGAGAGACACAGAGAGACACAGGAGAGACACAGTGAGACACAGGAGAGACACAGAGAGACACAGGAGAGACACAGTGAGACACAGGAGAGACACAGAGAGACACAGGAGAGACACAGTGAGACACAGGAGAGACACAGAGAGACACAGGAGAGACACAGTGAGACACAGGAGAGACACAGAGAGACACAGGAGAGACACAGTGAGACACAGGAGAGACACAGAGAGACACAGGAGAGACACAGTGAGACACAGGAGAGACACAGAGAGACACAGGAGAGACACAGTGAGACACAGGAGAGACACAGAGAGACACAGGAGAGACACAGTGAGACACAGGAGAGACACAGAGAGACACAGGAGAGACACAGTGAGACACAGGAGAGACACAGAGAGACACAGGAGAGACACAGTGAGACACAGGAGAGACACAGAGAGACACAGGAGAGACACAGTGAGACACAGGAGAGACACAGAGAGACACAGGAGAGACACAGTGAGACACAGGAGAGACACAGAGAGACACAGGAGAGACACAGTGAGACACAGGAGAGACACAGAGAGACACAGGAGAGACACAGTGAGACACAGGAGAGACACAGAGAGACACAGGAGAGACACAGTGAGACACAGGAGAGACACAGAGAGACACAGGAGAGACACAGTGAGACACAGGAGAGACACAGAGAGACACAGGAGAGACACAGTGAGACACAGGAGAGACACAGAGAGACACAGGAGAGACACAGTGAGACACAGGAGAGACACAGAGAGACACAGGAGAGACACAGTGAGACACAGGAGAGACACAGAGAGACACAGGAGAGACACAGTGAGACACAGGAGAGACACAGAGAGACACAGGAGAGACACAGTGAGACACAGGAGAGACACAGAGAGACACAGGAGAGACACAGTGAGACACAGGAGAGACACAGAGAGACACAGGAGAGACACAGTGAGACACAGGAGAGACACAGAGAGACACAGGAGAGACACAGTGAGACACAGGAGAGACACAGAGAGACACAGGAGAGACACAGTGAGACACAGGAGAGACACAGAGAGACACAGGAGAGACACAGTGAGACACAGGAGAGACACAGAGAGACACAGGAGAGACACAGTGAGACACAGGAGAGACACAGAGAGACACAGGAGAGACACAGTGAGACACAGGAGAGACACAGAGAGACACAGGAGAGACACAGTGAGACACAGGAGAGACACAGAGAGACACAGGAGAGACACAGTGAGACACAGGAGAGACACAGAGAGACACAGGAGAGACACAGTGAGACACAGGAGAGACACAGAGAGACACAGGAGAGACACAGTGAGACACAGGAGAGACACAGAGAGACACAGGAGAGACACAGTGAGACACAGGAGAGACACAGAGAGACACAGGAGAGACACAGTGAGACACAGGAGAGACACAGAGAGACACAGGAGAGACACAGTGAGACACAGGAGAGACACAGAGAGACACAGGAGAGACACAGTGAGACACAGGAGAGACACAGAGAGACACAGGAGAGACACAGTGAGACACAGGAGAGACACAGAGAGACACAGGAGAGACACAGTGAGACACAGGAGAGACACAGAGAGACACAGGAGAGACACAGTGAGACACAGGAGAGACACAGAGAGACACAGGAGAGACACAGTGAGACACAGGAGAGACACAGAGAGACACAGGAGAGACACAGTGAGACACAGGAGAGACACAGAGAGACACAGGAGAGACACAGTGAGACACAGGAGAGACACAGAGAGACACAGGAGAGACACAGTGAGACACAGGAGAGACACAGAGAGACACAGGAGAGACACAGTGAGACACAGGAGAGACACAGAGAGACACAGGAGAGACACAGTGAGACACAGGAGAGACACAGAGAGACACAGGAGAGACACAGTGAGACACAGGAGAGACACAGAGAGACACAGGAGAGACACAGTGAGACACAGGAGAGACACAGAGAGACACAGGAGAGACACAGTGAGACACAGGAGAGACACAGAGAGACACAGGAGAGACACAGTGAGACACAGGAGAGACACAGAGAGACACAGGAGAGACACAGTGAGACACAGGAGAGACACAGAGAGACACAGGAGAGACACAGTGAGACACAGGAGAGACACAGAGAGACACAGGAGAGACACAGTGAGACACAGGAGAGACACAGAGAGACACAGGAGAGACACAGTGAGACACAGGAGAGACACAGAGAGACACAGGAGAGACACAGTGAGACACAGGAGAGACACAGAGAGACACAGGAGAGACACAGTGAGACACAGGAGAGACACAGAGAGACACAGGAGAGACACAGTGAGACACAGGAGAGACACAGAGAGACACAGGAGAGACACAGTGAGACACAGGAGAGACACAGAGAGACACAGGAGAGACACAGTGAGACACAGGAGAGACACAGAGAGACACAGGAGAGACACAGTGAGACACAGGAGAGACACAGAGAGACACAGGAGAGACACAGTGAGACACAGGAGAGACACAGAGAGACACAGGAGAGACACAGTGAGACACAGGAGAGACACAGAGAGACACAGGAGAGACACAGTGAGACACAGGAGAGACACAGAGAGACACAGGAGAGACACAGTGAGACACAGGAGAGACACAGAGAGACACAGGAGAGACACAGTGAGACACAGAGAGACACAGAGAGACACAGTGAGACACAGGAGAGACACAGAGAGACACAGGAGAGACACAGGAGAGACACAGTGAGACACAGAGAGACACAGAGAGACACAGGAGAGACACAGTGAGACACAGGAGAGACACAGAGAGACACAGGAGAGACACAGTGAGACACAGTGAGACACAGGTGAGACACAGAGAGACACAGGAGAGACACAGTGAGACACAGAGAGACACAGTGAGACACAGGAGAGACACAGAGAGACACAGGAGAGACACAGTGAGACACAGAGAGACACAGTGAGACACAGTGAGACACAGGAGAGACACAGAGAGACACAGGAGAGACACAGGAGAGACACAGTGAGACACAGGAGAGACACAGAGAGACACAGGAGAGACACAGTGAGACACAGAGAGACACAGAGAGACACAGTGAGACACAGGAGAGACACAGAGAGACACAGGAGAGACACAGTGAGACACAGAGAGACACAGTGAGACACAGTGAGACACAGGAGAGACACAGAGAGACACAGGAGAGACACAGGAGAGACACAGTGAGACACAGGAGAGACACAGAGAGACACAGGAGAGACACAGTGAGACACAGAGAGACACAGAGAGACACAGTGAGACACAGGAGAGACACAGAGAGACACAGGAGAGACACAGTGAGACACAGAGAGACACAGAGAGACACAGTGAGACACAGAGACACACAGGAGAGACAGGAGAGACAGTGAGACACAGTGAGACACAGGAGAGACACAGGAGAGACAGGAGAGACACAGTGAGACACAGAGAGACACAGAGAGACACAGTGAGACACAGAGACACACAGGAGAGACAGGAGAGACAGTGAGACACAGTGAGACACAGGAGAGACACAGGAGAGACAGGAGAGACACAGTGAGACACAGAGAGACACAGAGAGACACAGTGAGACACAGAGACACACAGGAGAGACAGGAGAGACAGTGAGACACAGTGAGACACAGGAGAGACAGGAGAGACACAGTGAGACAGAGAGACACAGGAGAGACACAGTGAGACACAGAGACACACAGGAGAGACACGGAGAGACACAGTGAGACACAGAGACACAAAGGAGAGACACGGAGAGACACAGTGAGACACAGGAGAGACACAGGAGAGACAGGAGAGACACAGTGAGACACAGTGAGACACAGGAGAGACACAGAGAGACACAGTGAGACACAGGAGAGACAGGAGAGACACAGTGAGACAGAGAGACAAAGGAGAGACACAGTGAGACACAGTGAGACACAGTGAGACACAGGAGAGACACAGTGAGACACAGGAGAGACACAGAGAGACACAGGAGAGACACAGTGAGACACAGAGAGACACAG